TCTTAAAAATTATCAAAAGCAAAAAGAAAAACACCTATACATTCCTATCCTTTTCAATTCTTTGACTCTTCCATCTTATATTTTATTCTCTAGTTTTCTAAAGTCTTACCACAAATGAGGAGCAATAGTGCCTAGTTAAGGTCAGAATGGGCAGGATCAGGGCAGGCAGCAACTTAGCAGTCACCAAGCAGACAAGGATTGGGACAAGGAGCAGGCTATGGAGATTAATTCTGACTGGCAGGATGTGAATTAAAGCAACTGATCAGTGTTGGTATATTGAAGCTGGACGGACAAGATTTAAAGCAGTAGATCAGGGCCCTGGCCAGGCAGCTTAGTCGGTTAAAGCATTGTCCCAATATGCCAAGGTTGCAGGTTACATCCCCATCAGGGCACATACAAAAATCAAGCAATGAGTGCATAAATAAGTGGAACAACATATCGATGTTTCTCCTTCTCTCTCTCTCTCTCTCTCTCTCTCTCTCTCTCTTTTAAAAATCAATAAATAAAACTTTAAAAAATTACAATAATAAAAGAAAGCAGTAGATCAGGCATGTGACAGGACTTCAATCAGAGGTCATGTGACATCCCAATGAAGCCAAGAGAGCCAAGTTGCAATACCAAAAGCTACGGCTGTAATGATGCCTTTCCACGTCAGTCCACAGGCCTCATCCCCTTGGTGGAACTCAGTGGATTCTCGACATTTTAAATACAAATCCTTTATCAGACATGTGTTTTGCAGATATTTCCTGTCTGTGGCTTGTCTTTATTCTCTTAATGGTCTCTTTTGCATAGCAGGAGTTTTTAACTTCAATAAAGTCCAACTTTTTTTCTTTCATGGATCGCACTTTTGGTTGTATCTAAAAACTCATCACCATCATTCAATTCTTATAACAATTCTTTGATATCAGTATTTCCATTTCACAGATGAGGAAACCGAGACTCAAAGGTCAGCTAACTTGACTAAGCTCAGATGGGCAGAAGTAATGGATTTGGACTTACTGATATTCCAATATTCTCTCCACTGTGCAATGTTACCTAACTCTATTCATCTTGCCTTTTTGTTTTGTTTACCTTTCTTTCCTTTTTTCATTCAGTCATTTAAAGTTTTTTTAACCTAAGGTGAATGTGGTTTGCCATAAGAAATGGCAACTTCCAGAGAAAAAGAGATTGATGAAGCTAGTCCAAAGTATATCATAGCAGCATTGTTAGAAACATACAGTTAGGTAGCAATGTCAAGTGTCATTGGAGCATGGAACCCCTGTGAGCATATTATAAAAGCTAAGGATCCATTTCCCTAAAGACACACACACACACACACACACACACACACACACATTTTGCATATAATTTTAGGAGTTTGGATGCCATAGCTGCTCTATGACATTAGTACATGCAGAATTAATTTAGTGCCTAGTCATGTGGGGGAAATATAAAATAACATAAAGAAATAATATCTATGAAAGTACTATCATAGTTCCAGTGCATAGTAGGTACTCAGTAAATTCTTATTTAATCAAGTCTGGCCCTGACCGGTTTGGCTCAGTGGATAGAGCGTCGGCCTGCGGACTCAAGGGTCCCAGGTCCGATTCCGGTCAAGGGCATGTACCTTGGTTGCGGGCACATACCCAGTGGGGAGTGTGCAGGAGGCAGCTGATCGATATTTCTCTCTCATCGATGTTTCTGACTCTCTCTATCCCTCTCCCTTCCTCTCTGTAAAAAATCAATAAAATATTTTTTAAAAAATCAGGTCTGATTAATGGTTAACAGTACTTTTTGCCTTCAAATAGGGAATCCACACCCATCGTTTAATGTAGTCTAGTACAAGAATTTGCCACCAGATGTCACTATTGTTCTAGAGAAACGCTTACACATTCTCCACCCACTCCAACTTCACCCCAACCTCCATAGTCCCCATATGCCAAGGTTGTGGGTTTGATTCCTGATCAGGGCATAAACAAGAATCAATCAATGAATGCATAAATAAGTGGAACAACAAATAGATGTCTCCCTCTCTTTTCCTCTCTCTCTAAAATAAAAATTTAAAAAAACATTAAAAGGGGGAGGGGAGGCCAATTGAAAGGTAAAAAGGATCCACTGGCATATAACAATTCTGACATCCATCTGGGCTAATGTTGGATTAGACCCTTGATGGGTCAGAAAACACAGCTAGGCCCTGCTGGCATGGCTCATTGGTTGAGCGTCAACCTATGAACCAGGAGGTCACAGTTTGATTCCCGTAATGGCATGTTCCCAGGTTGCAGGTTCAGTCGCCCCTGTGGGGCATACTGGAGGCAGCTAATAGGTAATTCTCTCTCATCGCTGATGTTTCTATCTCTCTCTCCCTCTCCCTTCTTCTCTGAAATCAATGGAAATATATATATATATATTTTAAAACAAACAGCTAGCAAGCGAACAAGATGGGGTAGAAACCTAGGGTGGGAAAATAGGCTCATGTTCCATTCTTTGGAATTCATGTAAAAGGAATATGCATAATTAAATGTCTAAACTCAAAAAAAAAGAAGGAAAATTAAAAAATCATGAATTGAGGGAAGGAAAGCACATTGATTTATTCAAAAAGTATTTCTTGAGTGCCTGCATTGGGCTGGGCACTGTGCAAAGTAACTAGATGGGTCAGGCCGGGTCCTCGGGATGCTCACAGTAAGTGGAGGGAGGATCAGGGGCCCCTCAGTGGACATTTGAGCTGAGGCCTAAGCGAGAGAGGGCGGGCGATGCTGAGATCTGAGGAAAGTGAGTTCCAAACAGAAAGGGGGCCTCCAAAGGCTCTGAGCCCTGCCTGGCTGGAGGGCAGGCAAAAGGAGCGAAAGTAGCATGAGGTCCTAGATCCGTGGTTCTCAACCTTGGCTGCACATTAGAATCACCTGGGAATCTTGTTAAAATCCTGATTTCTGGGCCTCATCCCCCGGAAATTCTGTTTCTTTGTTACTAATGTTGTGGCCCCACCCCATAACAAAGAAACAGAATTTCCGGAGGATGAGGCCCAGAAATCAGGATTTTAACAAGATTCCCAGGTGATTCTAATGTGCAGCCAAGGTTGAGAACCACTGCCCTAGAGGTTGGCAGGGCCAGATCCCAGCGGGGCCAGGAAGGGAACTTAGAGTTTTAAGGCTGCACTTTTGACAGTGTAGAGAAACGGGGGTGAGGGGGAATGCCTAAGCATGTGTGCTTGGAAGCCAGGACGGTCATTCCGAGGCCAAGCACACGCTCCTGGGCCCGGGGCCAGCTTGGCGAGCCTGAGCCGGGAACCCTGCCTGGAGCCTCCAATCCGCTTAAAGA